TCTCTTTGAGCAAGTCTAGCTGAACACGAACATCGGTTATCGGGTGCAGCGCAGTCATGGAACGGTGGGAACCTACCTGCTCCTCCCGCCCTTTCCCTTCCAAATCGACAAAGGACATTGGGGAGGGTGCATATGAGCTGACACTCGTTCCTGGTGTCGCTCCACCGCCCACATCACCCTGCCCCATCACCGCCGTGTGCCCAGAGAACCCACTCGACGCAGAAGCCACCGAAGACACGCCCATGCCACCTCCACCATGACTTCGTCCAAACGTGTTCACATGCGAAGGCGGCGGTGCCAAACTTGGTGCATTTGGCTGAGATGGAGAGTACAGCGTATTGGTTGTCGACGCGTAAGACGACGGTCTGTCATTGTTGTTCGGTGCTAGGTGCTGCTGATGATTGTGGTTGGCGTGGTAGGCTTGATCCCGTGGGTCGCGTGGATCTCTCTGCTGGTGATGACCATGGTATTGACTTGGATGAGGTTGATTCTGCGGTTGGGGCTGAGGTGAAGACTGCCCTCCGCTATGGGGCATCCGCGCAACGGCCTGTTAGGTCGTTGGTTGGTCGGTATCGTGTCACTGCAACGTGTATGGCAGGATCCGGAAGCCTTCAGACCGATGCAAGACGCTGCTTAATGCCGTGTGTTGTCTGTCCAAGACGAACGAGGATCCAAATGGACGCAGGATCAGTGGGAGAACCAAAGGTTTGCTGGTCCGGGGAGGAGCAGGTACGATGATGAGTTGTAGTGGCGTACAGCCACCACTCAACACAGGCAGTGTAGATTGAGATAAGATGGAGCTTGCTAGCGTCGTTACCACCATAGATCTTTTATGTACATAGCAGTGAGCGGTTTGCTCTATTCTTGACTGCAGTGTAGACAAACAAAGCAATATCGAAATCCTCTAGACTACCTGCCCATACTTCTCATTCAGCAACGCCATAGACTTCGCCCATCGCCCATCACTCCAGCCCTTAATCTCCTCCCACTCCGGAAGATTCAGGCTGAACCACTTGAGCAGCGCTGCAACCATGACATCCGCATAAGAAAGATTCTCCCCCATCACATAATCTCCCTTCCCATTGAGAGCGTAGAACCCCGCCACCCTCCCAAGGCCCTGCTCAACGCTCTTGAGCGCCTTGCTCCTCGCCTCTCCTCTCAGCGTGATGTCCTCGAACTTTTTGACACCAAAGTACACGGGCCTTGTGCGCTCGAAGAGCTCTACGCTCGCTTCGTTCAGCTTTGTCTCCGACATGATTATAGAGGATACGGCCTCGATCGACGCTCCAAAGAACATCCCGAAAGACCGGATCAGCATTGTCATTCCCTTGGGAAAGAGACGAGGTGTCGAAGGATACGTCTCTTCGAGGTAACGCGCGATGGCGAAAGAGTCTTGGATGACGGGGATACAGTGGTATGATATCTTGTCGTCGAATCGGACGGCAGGCAAGCCGAGCTTTGAGTATAGGTCTTTGATATCAGGGCATTCTACCCATTATGTGCGGTAGTGCAAGCCTTTGTAATTGAGGCAGTACCTCGATAATACGATCAGAAATCTAGTTCGTGAAGGAGATGCAAGGACTCCCGTACCGTGTCTTCCGTGTGTTTGGCGACCACGCTTTGTCAGAATGAGGGCTTGGGATGTCGTAAAGAATGACAGGGTTGCTTGCGTTCATAGTGGGTGGACTGGTCAAGAGAGAAGTGGGGTGAAAGATGAGATCAGTTCGCACGGGTAGATATTGCAGGTCAACTTAGGGCCGTGAAGAGGATTTTAAGCACAGCGGAAGTGCTCATCGTGATAGCACATTGCGTAGGTGGAGGAGGCAAACCAGAGTAAGTACGTGCTCAATTGGCAACCCCCATGAGGCCCCCTTCGAATTCGAAACACCGAAAAAGACGAGTTCGGTGTGCCTGTATATGACCATAGCTTCAGATTTGATGCAGATGAGATGGGAACCGGTAAGTATGGATGTTACAAGAGAAACGGAGACTTGTCGTTGAACTTCACCATTCGCGAGGCTGCAAGATGGTGCTCGTTGCTCATGATCAAAGTCGTCTGCAAGGACCGCTGTGTTCATGTGCAGAGCCGCTGTTTCGGGCCGGCACGCCGTCACACAATACCTCTCATCCGAATCGCACAGGAAAATCATGGATGAGGGCTGCTAGCGCTCTACAGTTCAGAGGAAAATTTTACAGTCTTCTCCTCGAACAGCCCTATCGGATCTTAAGAAACCATCAAGCGAGTTTGTGTTTTGGCAGTCTAGATCTCCGCTCTGAGAGCAGAAGCGCACCTGCAGCTGAGAGCACTGGCGATTTCTCGGATCTCAAGTCACTGCTTGTGCCTATCATCAGCATTCGCACGCCAAGTCGCACGCTCGGCTCCCGTTCGAGGTACAGGGGAGAACACAGGCCTCCATAACATGCAACTTGACACAGCCTGCTACTTGGCTCAGGCTCCTAGAACTTCGAACAAAGCTATGACTCGGAGTTTGACAACTTGTATTTCGTGCGCGCGTTCGCCAGGTGAATGCCAGTGAGTCCTAGAATTATGTACGCCTCTGCAGTGAGTCACCAGAATCTTACACATAAGCCTTGTAACGCTTAGCCACAGAGCATCAACCGAACTTCGACGGATAATCCGGGGTATGTCAGAGTGAGTCTATAGGTTGACACCTCACGCGTTTAGTGTATAGCTCGTTGGACCATTTTTTTATGTTGCAATTTGCAAGCAAGGGCATCCCGATCAGCACCTTTGAGTTTCATCCCGGCACCGTCGTTCCTACGTATGCACTCCTACGCAGCTGATTTTGTTCATCATCGAAGGCTGATAGAATCAAGACATACCTCATGCTACATCATCTCGATAGCAGAATGCCTAGTGCCTTAGCAGTGCGTCGCAAGCTGATAAAATGAAGCGAGGTATCGCACAGATTCACCGGCATCTCGAATTTTAAGCCTCACCATTGCCAGCACCGAATTGTGCCCATGAACTTCACTCACTTGTACGTCGCTCTTACATCACTTTAGACTTGCGCCTTCCAGCTGCTTATCGTCAACTTCTCGATGTATATCTGGTTATCTCGTGCAGTACTGGACCTCTCGTTAGTTTTTTTTTTTTTCAAGTTCTCGCTCTTGGGGCGAATGTTCTTGGTACTCATCTGGATACCCAATCCCTGTCAGGCGTTGGCCCACGTTCTTGGCTCGATACTGTACGGCATACTGTGCGTATAGATATGTGATTACCCTCGATTCTGCACTGCCCAACACTTCCGCGACGAGCGCTCATGTTTGATTACCAGCCATATGTAGCTTGGCGTTCAAGAAAGACTGACTGTGGATGAAGCTTCTCGGTACGACCTGCTTCCTGTCATATCTTGGTTCTGAATATCATTCTACAGTCTACAGTTTATTTGCTGTCGAAACCGCGGCGCAGGGCATAGAGACTCACAAAGTCTGGTACACTCTTGGCGCCGGTTGGGGCAATCCATCGCATCTCTTCGTGAACCCTCCTCCGGCCATAGCGTGCCCAGCGCTTGTGGGTATTGTGATGTCGTTGGTGCATGAGTTTTATTGTTGGAGGATCGTGGTACTGGGGAGAAGATGGATCGTTGCCATCGCAATCGCAGGAGTAAGCTACTTGTGCTCGTCGACGCGCGTATTACTTGTATTAATATTTGTTCATGACAAAGCTTTCGTTGGCGAACTTGGCGCAGAAGATTTACATGACGTATTTCGTGAGTAAACTCAGCCGCTCGTGGCATTCTCGGAGAACAAACCTTTCTTCCATGCCATGCACAGTTTGCCACGAGCTCGCACGACCTCTACGGCAAGGCTAAGCATGCATACTATAGGAATGGCCTGGTAAGCAGAGCTTACTAGTGAAGCATACTTTTCGGTGCGTTGAATAAGACCTACCAGATAGGCTCCGTTCTCAGTCTCTCTGTCAACGTTGTCATTACCGCCGGTCAGTTGAGCTCGTCGACACTTCTACCTTTGAAGACGTCAGCTAATCATACAATCACGTCGCCTAATAGAGATGTTCTATCTCCTACTCAAAGCATACCGGAGGGCAAGCTATCCCGACACGGCGCATCGACTTCGAAAGCTGCTCGCATAGACCATTGAAACCGGAGCTCTGGCTAGCATCCTGTCCGTAGTGTTCGTTGTCACGTATATTTATTGGAACGATCCGAGCAGAAACTACCCTAGTAATGTGAGTAAGTCCGCTCTCGAGTCTATGATTGAAATCTTATGGCAATGTCTGCTCACAATTCCATCCGGATGCATGTCGGCGGCTACAGATTTTACACGCTCAACAAAATCTACAGTAACACCCTCCTTGCCGTTCTCAACTCCCGAATCACCTTCGTCACCTCGGCCACATCGAGTAGGCTTGGCTCTCCAGCTTTCACAGGTCGAGATGTTCAAGCGAGCCAGGCTTCGGTATTCCGCTTCATATGGACTCAGAAACAATCGAATAAGCCATCTCCGCTTCCCGAAATGACGGCGGGAACGTTCCAGATTCCGGAACGGGTGTTCACCTACAGCACCGCTGAGGAGCCTCAAAGCCGTCGTTCAAGGCTCGGAGGCGTGGATCTAGCTGGTAGTGGCAATGCGAGCATTGGTAGTACTGCCGATGGATATTCTACGGCTCCCAGAAGATCAGACTGTGCATGATTTTCCACTGACAAAGACTCTGGTACATATGCGTCGCGATTCGAGTATGGCAAGGCGGTCTGAGTTTATGCATCAGCGCTAGCAGACTGTGAAGCTGTAATTTGCAGCTATTTATTACGTAGATACTACCAGATGGCTTTATGTTTCGATTCATGTACACGTCACAGCTACAAGTATTAAAACATGTCTTTTACACGCTAGAGATACCACTCACTGCGTTGAGGTCCATCGAGACGAGTGCACACTGAGTGGAGGTTCCAAACCTTCTCGCAGGGTTCACGTGACCTAAAATTATAATGTTGCATACGAAGTTTGGTGTATGAGCCCGCCTAGCTCAATCGGTAGAGCGTCAGACTCTTATCCCTCTACAGTCCTGTAGTTTCGGCATCTGAAGGCTGTGGGTTCGACCCCCACGGTGGGCTAATACGCCTCGCAATCTCGAAGTAACAATTTTTGTTGCTTTTCTTGTTCGATCATGGGGTTATAATTACATGGCCGTGCTATTATCGATAGCGAGTCATGAAAATTTCACGCGTTGAATATGCACGCACCAAGCCTTCTTACGGTCTTTCCAATCCGCCACCTGGCTGCGCCAGATGTCAGTCACTTGTCCTGTATGGAAGTACTTGGTCAGATAAGACACACCATTCTCGAGAGCAATAAGGTGCGCTCCTGCACTTTTGGCAGCACTTTAGACCGTCTTGTTGGACGTGGCACGTTACGCAGCGATCTTTCGGTATTACAGGCAAGTTATCGACGTTGCCATCGATGCATGGGTTCATTTTGGGCTCGGAAGACCTGTCCCGGGGCGTGGAAGTGGTGGTTCGATGGAGGTTGCGTGGGAGTTCTCACGACTCCGACGTCGATGATCGATTCGGATCCGACATCCGAGTTCCCGCTCTCGCTTTGCAAATCTAGGCGTCGTGGAAGTCCAACGGGATATGTAGAGTAAAGTACTGCAGCTTAGAAACGCGCGCGCAATATCAACAGAGGACGACGCAGCATCCATAGGTTAGGTAAAGATTAGGATTGTAAACGTAGGAAGATATAGATACAGCACCTCCGGTATGCCAGAATATAGTAACAAAAACGCGAAGCTCTACTTTTTCTTGCCCTTGACCGACCTCTTCTTCGGTGTGCCCAAGCCCTCCGGAAGCCACTCATTCACCTCCACCTTGTCCTTCCACGCCCCGCTCGTGTGCGTATCAGCTCTGCTCGTACCCAGTTGTACCTCCTCTATCGCACCCCTTCCAGCAAGACTTCCACTGAGACTCGTGGTCGACGAATTCTGCGGAGCAGTCTTGTCTTTCCCGGCTGATGCCTCGAGCTCGTCCATCTTCCTCGAGGCCTCAGCGATCTCGTCGGGGGTGACGTTCTCCCCTCGTGCCAAGCGTTCCTTGATCTGCGGTGTAATTCGGATGCGCTTCACGTTCGTCTGGAATCCGGGAGCTTCGTTTCAAGCTAGTCAGCGAGCTCTTATAGAAATCAAAGCGCGTCCGTCCGTACCTCCCCGCCCTATCCCGTATAGCCGCAGTCTCCTGGCAAGGTACCATTTGCGAACAAAGTACACGGAGATGATAAGTAGAGGAGGTATGCTATACAGCGAGTGTAGAGAAGCGGTAGATTAGCTCATGCGGTTAATAGACAAGCTCAGACAATGGACATACGTGATGAAGAGCATAGTTGGATCTCCAGGTGGCAGCTGGGCCGGGGCTTTGGCTCTCGAGGACATGAGAGAAGGAAGAGGTGGTGATATATGCTTTGCACGTTCGAAGCCACGTCGAGTAGTGCGAAGAGAATTAGACCGGGACGACAAGATTTGTAAACCAAAGATGTGAGCGCGACGTTGGCGCGACGTGGCGGGAGGAAAGGAAATGGGAACGATCACGTGTATGATTCACGGACGAGTGTAGCGTTCCCCACAGGTCGAAATCGCGTCAATAGGCGTGTACTAAGTCTGTGACTTTGCTTTATGACTTATGACTTTGACTATATTTTGCATGAAACCTCGTCTGACAGTCCAGGTTCAGCAGCCTTACCGAATAGTCCGTCTGCACCACCGGGTTAATCGAATCTAGAGTCTTCCAATACGGATCAGAAGCTACAGTCGTCGCCATATTCTCCTAAGGTCAGCTGCACACTGGGCGGTAAATAATCTCAGACGGTCGGACGGATTATAGTCGGTGTCGCACGCTCTGCGTCAACTTATATTTCTCTCAAGGGTACCAGCGGAATCCTCCCCTGCTATCATGTTGCTGGTCGCTAAGCTCGCTATTACTCTTCTCATCACTGCCCACGTAGCTCTTGCCGAGAAATGGCTCAGCACCTGGGTCAGCATGCCCCAGCTCACCGAGCCTCAGAACCTTCCCCCTTCTCCCTTCACCGAACCCACCGTCGTATTCCGTAACACCACCCTCCGACAAACCATCCGAGCCACCATAGGCGGCGACGCCTTTCGGCTCCGTATCTCCAATGTCTTTGGCGGGTCAGACTTGCCGGTGACGGCGATATCCATAGCCTTACCTCTGAATGGTAGCGCCGGCGTTTCATCCATCCTCCCCAACTCATCAAAGGCCGTGACATTCAGCGGCGCATCCTCCTTCTCCATTCCGAACGGTGCACAAGTCCTCTCGGATCCAATTAGGTTGAGCGTAGGAGCTCAATCAATGATCACGGTCAGCATCTATACCGCGTCCGGGCAGACGACGAACAGTATCAGTGGACACCCGGGGAGTCGCACGACGAGCTGGATGGCGTTTGGGGATCAGGTTCACGCGCTTGATTTGGCTGGGGTGGAGAAGGCCAGCACGAATCATTGGTATTGGGCCAGTGCGTTGGAGGTTTGGAAGGGGGACGATGCGGGTGCGATTGCGATTGTCGGGGATAGCATCACGGATGGAAGGGGGAGCACGGATAATGGGAATAACAGGTGTGTTTGATCCAGTCATGACCTGGAGGCGATTTATGTAACTTGTTGAGCTAGATGGCCCGACCTCTTTCTCGCTCGCTTGCAGAACAGTCCCTCCACTCGCAACATCGCCGTCATCAATCAAGCTGCAGGTGGAAATCGCATCCTCGCAGACGGACTCGGCCCCAACGCCCTAGGTCGCATCGACCGCGACGTTATCTCTCTCCCCGGAGTCAAATACGCTATGATCTTCGAAGGGACCAACGACATCGGTACCGGACCCACTACCACCTCCGCACAGAAAATCATCGAAGACCGGCTCATCTGGGCGTTCAAGCAGATCGTCGAGCGGCTGCACACAGCTGGTATCCCAGTCATTGGCGCAACCATCACACCGTTCACCGGACACGAATACGGGCACCCGACCAGGGAGGTGACGAGGCAGAAGGTGAATGAGTGGATCAGGACGAGTGGGGTGTTCGACGTGGTGGTTGATTTCGATAGGTTGTTGAGGGATCCGGAGCAGCCGGCGAGGTTCAAGGTGGAGTATGATGGAGGCGATCATCTGCATCCGAATGTGAGGGGGTTTCAGGTTATGGCGGATGCGATACCGGTGGGGTTTTTTGCGAAGTATAAGTATGCGAAGGTTGGAGGGACGAGGCCAAGGTTCTGAGAGCAAAGTAGTAGTCGGGTCTATTTGCGTTACGCATACCAGTACACCAGACTGGAGCTATTGACGTCGAAACCTCACGCCACGCATATATGCACACTGTACATCGGATTTGGGCGTGCAAAAAACCTGGGTCTGACACGAGGTTAGCAAAAGTCCATGCACTCCAGTCTCAGAGGAAATTACCTGAATCAATCACCGCTCCTCGTATAGTATACATGGGGCGACGTATTCCACCCAAACCCGACCTCATCCAACCAAGTCCTCCTCCTACAATCCCTCCGGTCCGTCTCCAACGTAACCCTACTACCTCTCGGTGCCGTGAATCTCACATCCATTCCTCTTTGTTCCAGCACCCTCAGCGCCACCAAATCTCGCTGATGCGCCTCCGAATTACCTCCCGAGGGAAAGTATAACCCGACAAACGTCACTGGTCTTGGTGTACGCTTGAACAGCTCTGCGACCACGACGGCAACTTGGCCGTCCGGACAGGTCCATGAAGTGCGATAGTCGTTGAGTATGAGCAGGGCTCTGAGGAATGGCAAGAAGTTGCCGGCGGGAGAAGATTGGACACGGTTCCCTTCGCGTGGAATCATCATGGTACGGAGAGTCAGAATATTAATGAGAAGCTTGATCGAATCCTGCGAGAGTTGACCAAAGAGCGTGCACTCGCTGTATTGAATGGCCAGGGTCTGTACGGTCTGCTGAATGCAGTCGGCTTTCAAGAACCTGAGGAGCTCCTCTTCCACGACCGCATGTCGTTCGACGACAATATGTAGGTGGGTAAGCTCTGGGCCGTTAATACGACCCAAAAATTCACGCGTGAGGAGAGGTGCCAACGTGTACGGCCGTGTTTTGCCGGAGACTAATACTTTCAGCTTCTTTAGAGCCGGGGTGTGGATGTGCGCTGCTATATTTCAGGCGACCCAGCCGTCTTCAATCTTGTGGGATCGCAGCCTGATCGCGAGCTGGTGTAACACTGACAGAGTTATGCCGCTGTTACCATAGCCCTGGGTTTGCACGTACGCGTCGACTTGTCCTCGGTGACCTTAGAGCCCGGGTATAGAGTGAGGCATGTGAGCGTGGAAGATGATCGGGCGATAGCCTTCAAGCTCTTCGTGTCAGAGAGCCCAGCAACAAATGCTTCTGTTAGACCGGTCCAAGGCGACAGAGGGAAGGGGTAATCCGTGAGGGAAGGGGCAATCCGTCGAGGCCGCTGGTACACCAGATACTTGAGAGTCTCGGGTCTGGTTCAGGGCCAGCTCGCGCATATTGCAACCGCCTCGAAACAAAAAAGAAGAAAATGAGGGTTTCAAGGTATGCGCCGATGGATCTTCTGTAAAGTCTATGAATTCGGAGTTGTTACGCCCGACGTCGATTTGGAGTTCCAGACGGCAAAGCGACGGTGTCATCTCTGCTGCCTTGTATAAACACCGAGATTGATGTGGCGCGCTGCTGTGCCGTACTTGAGAACCCCGTCTGCCAACTCCAGGCTGAGGTTCAGGAGTGCGATGCATGTGAGGCGAGAGAATCCGGAGGTGGTAGATGTATCTCGGATCATCCGACTGAAGGAATCCGATCGGGGAGTGAGGATGGCCACGACTCGCAATGAGCTCGCGCTTTGGCGTGAAGCGAGAAGTGTATTTATGGTGCAATGGCGGAAATAGGGAAATGGTCTGGCAATTATCAGCGTGCGTAGATGTGGTGATGACCCGGGAGCAACTGCAGGCGGGACATTTTGCATACTGTCCTCAGGTTCGTCAAATTCGTCCTCTACCTGGTAATACGCGGTGACCCGGGGTGGCTGCTCTTGGTAAGCGTTGACTGGCATGTAAATAATTCCC